ACAGGTCAATTTAGACAATTATGCCCTACAAGACACTATGGTGAATAATGCACATATACTGCATGCTTTCTCTCTAGGCTGCTCATAGTGATTGTGTCCAGAATTTATCCCTTCTGTTGGGTTCTTGGTCTCGCTAATTTCAAGAATGAAGCCGTGGACCTTTGCGGTAAGTGTTACAGCTCTTAAAGATGGTATGTCCAGAGCTTGTCCTTTCAGATGTGTCCAGAGTTTCTTCCTTCTGGTGACCTTGTGGTCTCGCTGACTTCAAGAATGAAGCTGCGCACCTTCACAGCAAGTGTTACAGCTCTTAAAGGTGGTGCAGACCCAAAGACAGAACAGCAGCAAGATTTATTCTGAAGAGCAAAAGAACAAAGCTTCCACAACATGGAATAGAACCCAAGTGGGTTGCCTGGGCCAGCTGGGGTGGCCAGCTTTTATTTCCTTATTTGTCCCCACCCACATCCTGCTGATAGGTCCATTTTACAGAGCGCTGATTGGTGCGTTTTTACAGAGTGCTGACTGGTGCATTTACAATCCTTTAACTAGATACAGAGCAATGATTGGTGCATTTACAATCCTTTAGCTAGACACAAAAGTTCTCCAAGTCCCTACTCGACCCAGAAGCCCAGCTGACCTCACCTCTCATGATGACCTATTAAGATGAGAATTACAAATATGGCAATATCCCCTACAGAGTATATATCCAGAAAATCACCATGCATTTTCTCTTCTTTAGAACAAAAATACTAGGTTTCTTAGTGAAATTTTAGAAAGACTATGATATCAAATATTATAAAGAGACAACTTTTACAATTTTAAAATAGAGTGTTGATTCTTAAATTTGGATATGGAAAAGGCATTAAGCATGATCTTGTCCAATACGTTTCACTGGTTGAATGGTTGATATTTCATAGTTGATATATATATAGAGCCAGTGAATTCTTGCAATTTTCTTTGTAAATATATTTTGGGATTCTCTGGAAATGCAATGTTAGCACAATTGAACAAATGGGTTTGTTGTAATATTTCTGTATGGATACATGCAGAGGAAAAATAATACTAAGATCTGGGATGGATTGAGGAATATTAATAATTACATTTACATTTTTACTAATAATTACATTTATATATGTTTACTTGCTATGTTTAGTGAGATAAAATATGAAAAGATACAAGTGCCTCTTACTTGGCTATGAGATACATGGGCCTGGGCCTTTAAGCTGCTCTCTTAATATTATTTCCATTAAAGAAAAATAAGAAATACCAATATTTAGTGAGTTTTGCTTTATCCTAAATTTATAAGTATATATAGATATTTTGTCACTATCATATTTATCCACAACTTAAATATTGTAGTGTATTTTATTTTTTCACATAAAAATGTAAACGGCATATACAAAATTGACAGAAACTGCAGAACAATTCATTTTGAAAGAAAAAAATTGATTTTAATAGTAAGAATATTAATAGCACTTGTTATTATTATTATTTTTTGAGATGGAGTGTTACTCTGTCACCCAGGCTGGAGTGCAATGGCTCAATATCAGCTCACTGCAACCTCCGCCTCCCGGGTTCAAGCCATATTCCTGCCTCCACCTCCTGAGTAGCTGGAATTACAGGTGCCCACCACCATGCCTGGCTAATTTTTGTATTCTTAGTAGAGATGGGGTTTTATCACGTTGACCAGGCTGATTTCGAACTCCTGATCTCAGGTGATCTGCCCACCTCAGCCTCCGAAAGTGCTGGGATTACACGTATGAGCCACTGTGCCAAGCCAAAATTATTTTAGTATACTAGGAAGTGTACTACTCACAGTAAATGAATGAGCCTACTTCAACCTCAGAATTACAATGAAATTTATATACTACTATCAACTCAATTTTACAGATAAGAAAACTCAGGCTAGTGTAGTAACTATTCTGTTTAGATATTTTGTAAGGACTGGAGTAGGATTGTAATTCAAGCAGCCTGCTTCAGGGTTCATGATCTGGACTTTATGAAATGTAAATTAATATAAACATTAATTTTTATAATTTTGTGAATGTCATCACTTTTTCAATGGACGTGTATTATTCTGAAATTAAAGAGATCAACAGTAATACAAATCATTTTCGGGAAATAAAGAGAACCGTTTCTCAGTTCATAAAACTCCAGATATTTAGATTCAAACTGAACATGCGTATTGAACAGACGGCCCTGTAAAACTACTTTTATTTCTCTTTGCTGAAATGTCCTGAGTTAGATGAAATAATAGATTTTAAGGAATTGCACAGCTCTTGCCAGAAAATGAATTCGCAATTTCAAAATTGGTTAGTGAATACGAATTGTGCTTTATTTTTTGTGGCTGTGTTTTGGAGTGTAAACTTCAAGAAGTGTGTTAGTTATAAAGTATCAGAATCTTCAGTATAGCTTAGTTTCCTGAGAAGCTAAAAATGAACTACGTCCATTAAAAATGCACTATAAAATGATAATTTCGGAGCAAGCTGATATGTTCCTGTGATGACAAGCAGTATATAAATCTGTCAATAATGTTCAAGTCTACCTGATTCTGTAAATTATCCTTCATGAAATTCCCTTTTTTTCATGTAATTTTAGAAAATAATAATGTAAGACTGAAAATAGAAATGAAATTTGGATGTACTTGAATTCATTTTTCCGGTTTTAAAGTGAATTCTCAAATATCAGGATATTTGTTGAGTTGATTATCTGTGATCAGTGATGAGCATTTTGCCATTCATTTTCTCTCAAAGAACAAATTTTACTATATGTTTGTAAAAATACAACAACATAAACATAGTATATGTTTTATACACATATTTGACATATAATGGTTACTTTGTATTTAGAAAATTCAAAATTGAAATACCATGTAATGTATTAAATCATCCGTCAGATGGATGATTTAAAATTTACCAGACACACACACACACACACACACACACACACACCTTCATATAATAAAACGTCTGAAAATAAGATTACAAATACACTTTGGTTAAATATCTGTGCTTAAAGTATAATTCGAACTGATAGAGACACTCTGAATTCACGTCTGAAAGAACTGCACGTGTTGATTATTTAAATGCTTTGATTAAAAAAAGACTCCACTAGGGCTGTTAAGATAGACTGAGACATTCAATGTTGCACTACGTAGTATAAAGCTTTGGTAGAAAGTAAGTAAACATGGAGGCTGCAGGGAAGATAAAGAGAGAAATAAAAAAAGCAAATAGAGTCAGTGAAAGAGGCTCCCAAGTTTAATAGTGTGCATGTGTGTTTGCAATAAGGAGGGAAAGAACCACATTTCCTGGTATTTCTCCATACAAGCCCATTGCTCATTCCCAAAGCTTTCTCCTGCCCAATTTATATTCTCTACAAAAAATAAATCTCGTTACCATGATATGAATGTTAACAAGGGCTCCAGGCATCTCTAGAAAATACCACCAAATTAAAATCTCAGGAAGGAAACCCATTTTCTATCCTCACATAACTCTACCAACTCTCTTCTATATTCCTATCCGATAGTTCACATTTTCGTTTTAATATATTTAAAACTTTGCTTTTCTCCAACATCCCCTAAGAGCTGTTAAAGAGAAGCAAGATTTAAATTACTTGCATTTTATAGGATCTCCGGTCCAATGCATCTGAACGCAGAATGGTAAGATAAAAAGAGGAGTTGTGGAAAAGACAAACGTGCAGAAAGGCAATTATGCAATTGTTAATAATGCTGTGATAAATCCTTATTAAAGTAATATACTTATTTTCATATAAAGACACACAAAACATGAGAAAAGCGAGTGCTTGCTTTTCATTCACATTTAACAGAGATTTTTATATCATAGCTCACATTTCTCAACTCCAAAATGTTTTGCTTTTTCTTGGCTTTTTCCTGGGAAAATAATGAGGCAACCTAAGTGTTCCAGGTTATCAGAATACAAACAAGGTATAGTAACATGTAATAACAGAGGTATGAAATAGTAGCCATAAAGTACCAAAATGATATTTTTTGAGTCCCTGCTTTGGAAAGGAATCATTCCTAATAGTAGGGATTGATAAATCTTCTGTTCTTATATTTTTAAACAGTAGACCAAATGGTAAACATGGGGTGATTTTTTTTTTTTTTAATAAAAATGTCATGTTCTGGATTGGGTATATTGTCTAAATCTGAGAAAAATATATATAATTCAGCTTTGTGAATCTAGTAGGGAGAACTCATTATAAAGGCAAAATATAGTGTCCTATTGTGTTTTTTGATGTATAATAATTGTTATTTTTGGCTCATAGCATTGAGGAAAACTGAACAAATCTGACAACACGCTGCTTATTCTAGATCTTGAAAACTGAATTTAACACAGATAGAGGAATTACTCTGGTTAAGGAAGATTAAATGCTTTTAACTCCAAACTTAAGGATCCAGTCTTCTGTCAGTTTTAAGCAAGTCAACTGCTAGAGCAATGTGACCTTTAGGGGTGTGCGGGACACTTTCCCCAAGTGCCGGAATTAATGAATGGCAGCATATCACTTAGGAAATCTGCATGTTGGCTCAAAGGAAATCTTCAGACTTCTCTAAAGAAGTCACTGAACCAGGACACCCATACAAAAGGTGATGCAGAGTTCAACTTCAGCCCTATGTTATAGTCCTTACACCCTGGGTTTATATTTCTTCCTGGGTTTATATTTCATATTCACAAGTTTCTGGCTTACATGAGAACACTGGCTTCCCCTTCACAGGTTACAATCTTCAAATTCCAGATGCTTATAGCCAAAATGATCTTTAGACATTCTTTTTTTTTTTTTTAGTTATCAGAGAGGTATTTAATTTTTTTAGATTTTCTAATTATCAGAGATATTTAAGTGAAATAACCCAGATTTACTCAAATTGAAGGTAAATTATTATGTTATTTTTCTATTGCTGCATAATAAATTGCCACAAACATTGCTTGACAACTATATATATATACACACACATATATATACACACACATACATATTTAAAATCTCACAATTTCTGCAGCCTCAAGTTCAGACACACCATATCCTGGTCCTCTGTTTAAGGTCTCACAAGTCTGCAACCAAGGTGTTAGTGAAGCTGTATTCCCATTGCAAGCTACACTGGGGAGAGAGTTTCCAAGCTCCTTCAAATTGTTGGTAGAATTCATTTCCTTAAAGTTCCGTTTCTAAGACACTGACTTTTTGCTATTCCTAGGGGTTCCCTGCAGTTCTCTGTCACATGGGATTCTCAAACATGGCCATTTACTTTATTAAGTTGCATGTTGATCTCTGGCTCTAGTTTGTTAGGAGTGAGTAGCATATATTTTAAAATAATCACATGAGTAACATCTCATCACCTTTGTCAAATACTATTAATTAGAAGCAAGTCACAGATGCCCTCCACACACAAGAGGACAAGATTACATGTACAACTGAAATGGGAGAGTTTCCTGGCCCCACTCCCAGGACATGTGATGAGTTGTGGCTAATCTGTTGGGTCACCGCCACTGCTCAAACCCCATATGGAAGTGGGAGCATGCAGTTGGACAGGTGCAGGAGTTGGGCACTGGGCTGTAGCCCCACAGTAGCATTCAGGGGTGGGAGCCTGTGACTCCTCGAGCCCAAGTGGGCATGTGTTACAGTGTGTTCTTTTACCCTTGCTGTCCTCAGACAGTGTTCACTGGCTCAGTAGACCCTCTGCGAGGACACAGGGCCAGTGTGACAGCTTTCTGTACCCCAAGTTCTTGTCCAGCATCACGGAGGAATTGGGTCACACATGGACTTGAAGGATGCTGAATGTGGGGTTTTATTGAGTGGTAGAAGTGGCTCTCAGTGGGAAGGATGTGGAGCTGGACAGGGGATGGAGTGGAAAAATGATCTTCCCCTGGAGTTTGGCCATTCAGTGCCCGATTCTCTAACCAGGTTTGCCAAAATCCTCCCGACATTCAGACGCTCCTTATCTTCTCTCTTTTTCTGTTGCACCATTCTGCTATTTGTCTGCTCATCTGCTTGTTTCCTTGTCTGCTTCTGAAGCTTGGGGTTTGGGGTTTATATGGGTATAGGATACAGTGCATGGCAGGCCAAAAGGCAACTTTTGGGCACAAAAACAAGAAAGGCTGTGATCATTTTTGGGCCACAGTTACCCAGGCTTGAGGGTGGGGTCTTTGCCAGGGAATCACCCTCTTCTTCTCAGTATTTCCTTGTCTCCCGTCTGTATCATAATCATCAAATGAGTTCTTCCTGCCTGTTGCACAAACAAAATCAATTCATGGAGACCATGTCATTGCAGTAAAGAAATAGTTTTATAGACAGGAGGCCGGCCACACCTTGTGGGAGACGGTTGTTACTCAAATCAGTCTCAACAAAGGCTCAGGCATTAGGGGTTTTTCCAAAGATAGCTTGGTGGGTAGGGGGCCAAGGAGTGGGGAGTGCTGATTTTTTTATGTGGGAGATAAAATAATAGAGAGTTGACACGGTCCTCTTGCACCGAGTTAGTTCCTGGGTGAGGGCCACAGGACACATTGGCAAGTCTGGGTGGGGTCATCTAGTCGTCAGAAATGCAAAAACCTGAAAAGAAGACATCTCAAAAATCCAGTCTTAGGTTTTACAATAGAATAATTTTACAAAAGAATAATTGAGAAAGTAGCAAATCTTGTGACCTCTGGAATAATGGCTGGTAATTATTTTTGCCTACATCTTAGTAAAATTTAGGCCCCTCTCATCCTCCTAATTTGGTGGCCTTTCATTAGTTTTGTAATGGCAGTTGAGTTTTTGGAAGGGTTATTATCACTTAAATTATAAACTAAATTTCCTCCAGTGTTAGTTGTCCCATGCCCAGGAGTGAGCAAAGACGGCCAACCTGTGAGGCTAGAAGTAAGATGGAGTCAGTCATGTCAGATTTCTCATATTGTCATAATTTTTCAAAAGTGGTTTCACATGAAGGAGATGAGGCTAAAGGAAAACTTCCTCTGCCTTCTGAAGGTTAACTGAAAATCAACTGAGAAAAAGCAGATTAATAGGAGAAAAGGCATACAAAATGTATCAAGGTGCATATATGTGCCCGGGAGTCATACAAAACATGAACTCAAAAAGAGGACAGATGGTTGATGCTGAAATACTCCCCTCACAGCGGGAGACATACATGGGCCCGGAACGTGGGAGGCAGATCATACAGGAGGGTGAGGGGCAGAGCGGCACAGGAACCAAGATTGTCTTATTAAGTAGAGAAAGTGCCCCAGGTAATCTCTTGGAGCTGCCCTTGAAAGAATAGAGGAAAAGTCTTAGTGTCGTGAGGACTCTCAGTCTCTTCTCAGGTGCTTTGATGGTTGGTCTTTCCTGGTTATTTGATGAGATACCCGAAGAAGGGGGCTTAAGACATTTGCACTTCTTTTGGAAAGCAGCTTTCCTTGTCAGATAAAAAATTCCCAGAGAGAGTCCCAAGTCCCTCCCTGTGCTTGGTTGGGAGTTGGAAAGAGGGAGGCATAAAGCAAGGATAGAGGGACTTTGGATCTGAGGCAGCTTCTAAGTCCCCTTGGCATATCAAAGCGACAGTTTTGGGGGTATTGACTAACAGTAGGAGAAAAATTAAAACAAATGAAATAAATTAGGTTCAGGTTGTATTTCTTAATCTACTTCAATAAACATGTTTTTTTATGAGCACTGAAAATCACTGAAATTGAATCGGGAGAGTGTTAGCCTCGTTTTCACTATATTTTCTCATATTGCTGTAGTATTGAAAATGAGATGCCGCATTATAAGCTGTGAGTTTGAAATCTACTGCCATCAGGCTGAGGGACCTCTTACAAGGCTTTTACTTGTTTTAAGTTTCTATTTCTGTCAATACAATGGGGCAGTAATGTACATTCCATAAAGTTGCTTTTAAGATTACGTGTTTCACTATTGAAGTGGTTGCTTTATTATTTGTCCTTGTATGTATAGTTTTTCTTCATGTGTATATCAGAAAGACTGAACTGCACTAGTACTGCATTTTTTTCAGCTTCAATTTTTCATAATTCTATAGGAATAAAGATTGATACCCAGGATCTCTCCTGAGATTGACAAAGGTCTTCCAAAATTTCTTCGACAATGTCAAGTGTTCTGAGTGTATTTTCATGGAAACTGGGAAATGCCAAAATAGAGATCAGGGCTTTCAGGAGTATATTGGTAGACTTTTTCATTTTGTAAATAGAATCAACATAATTCTGAACCATTCATTAATCCATTTTGTGCTTTCAGATTTTTTGTCTGTGCAGAAAAATACTCGATTAGCTCTATCTTTGGAAAGATACATATCACTTCTAGCTTATAGTCTGTTATATGCATGAATACACTAAATTATTGTGTTATGTAAGAGAAATTATTTAATTCTTATTTATAATGCTCTAAACTTTGCTTAGATTGTTTTAGTCAAAGTTAATGTCTTTTTCTTTAAGAACGTATCATATATTTCTTTATATATGACTTTTTTTCTGCCTACTTTTAAATGCTTTGAACCTCTGTATACCATCAAATTAACCCCAATCTTAAAACCTTTAACCAATTTAATACTCTTCTAACTTAATCTTTTATAGCCCAATCATATCCTATTTTTTAAAAGATTTTGTCTATAGTATTTGGAAGGTTTTTGAAAAAAAAAAAAGTCTTAAGAGATTATAGCTTAAAGTAATAAAATTTTCTTTGAATATGATACCTCATCCCTATTAAATCCCCTAAAACCCATTTGCTGTTTTCTGTCAACTGTGTTTTGCCTGAAAGGAAGAAAGTAATTACTATAAACAGGATTAGATTAGTTTGGGAAATATTTTCATGGCACCCCTGTAAGCATTTTAGTTGACTTTGAAACTAAAGCTAAAATAAATTACCTTTATTTCTCTTCCTGATTTTGTACTGTTGTTGCTCCTAGAGAATTTTGACATAGTGAGTACTGTTGCTTACAGAGATATTGGATTTCACTGAGTGCCAGATCATACCATTCTTTTTTAACCATGTTGCTTTCATAGATGATTTGCCCTACTGTAAAATCATTAAGGATATTCATTAAACATGCCACTCTTTTGTAGGGAATCGATATTTCTAAAATAAAAGGCACCATTGTTTGCATTTAATTTCAGTCATGCTGTCTTTTAGGCTTTCAGTATTTTGTTTGTATTATGCTAGAGTAGCTTCTTGTATAATGAGATGGCACTGTGTGTAATGAGCTACTGTTTATTGTTATGCCTGGCGATAGACCATACAGGCGCAAGACTTGCTAACTACCAGCGCATCTATGAGATGCTCCTTTAACCTACAGTGAGGCCCATTTGAACAGGAGAAAGACAATATTTTGCTTTTTGTTTAGTCTCCAGGCAAATGATAGTAGCTCCAGCCTTTCTGTTGAGAGGCCTGGATGATCTGCTTTGCCCAGTGATTCTTTCCCCTGAAAGTTCACTGATATTTTCCAGTCCTCACAACATAAAAATACAAGGCAGAAAACATTTATTGCTTATTATGTTAAGTCCAATAGAAAAGGTAGATCCATTCTTAAGTCAGCTTAAACATGAAATTAACTTATACCATAATAAAGCAGTACAGGAATTTTAGCTAAACAGCTTATGCTTAGTCAAACTGATTCTTAAATTTCACTTTAATCAGTTTTTCTAAGCAATATAGTTTGTTCTTAATTTTGGTTATGTGAAATATGAATGATTTTTTAAAAAAATTATTGAGCACGATAATTAGGCCTCAAAAATATTTAAAATGTTCAAATTATTTAAGCTATCTATTAGCAATTGATCATCCACCAATTGCCTAAGCTAAATGAGGATCAATTTTTGGTAAATTAAAATGAATGTGGCAGAGTGGGTAAAAGGAACCATGAAGACACAACCCAAAATAAATTTAAACAGAAAATAAATTTGCATATGCAAAATAGAAATCATTTGAATTGAAAAGAAATATAATTCATGGAAAAACAGCTATTTATGGCATCTAAAATTTTATAAAATGATTATTTTGTATTTTGAAGATTTGATAAAATGGTTTAAAAAATCTGATTACTATTGTTTTTGGCCAGGGAAAAAATAGAAACAAGGTGGGAAATTTGTTTGTTCAAACAAATTTGATATCACATACTCTCAGTGCCTTTAAATATATGTACAATTTAGCAAAAACATATTCTATTGATATTCAACTAGGAAGCATCACATATGGGTATTGAGCATGGATTTTAAGTAATACTTAGCACTTCCAATTCTAAGTGTCTCTCAACTGGAGACTTGTAAAGTTTCTAAGATCCACTATAGAT